GGGAGAGGGAGAAGCGGGCTTCCTGCTGAGCAGGGAGCCCGATGTGGGGCTCGATCCCAGGACCCTGGGATCATGACCTGAGCCGAAGGCGGGCGCTTAACTGACTGAGCCACCCAGGTGCCCCTCGTGTTTCTGTCTTTAGACAGAGCTTTCGGCCTCTGGAGCTGAGGCTGGAAGACCCGCTCTAAAGAGGCGCTCACTTGTGCGGCCGGGGGCTCCTGGCTGGGCTCTCAGCTGAGCTGTTGGCCAGGATGCTTACACGTGGCCTCAGCATGTGGCCTGGGTGGCCGCACAACATGGCAGCCGGATACAGGGTGAGCCTCTCCAGAGGAAAGGAGCCGCGGAAATTCATAGAGCCTCTCCTGCAGCGCTCTGCTGGCTGGGGCCATCACCAGCCTCCCCGGGCGCGGGGTCGGGGGTGGGGGCAAGGAGACTCCATTTCTGATGGGTTGATTGATTGGGATGTGGAATTGTGAGGTCATTTTGGGATATATGTGATTAAAGGATGCCCATGTAAAGACATGGCATCCCCTGTGAGGTTTCCTGTTTTAGTGAAGTGTCTTTTTCCTTCAGGTTGACATAGAAATCAATGGGGAATCCGTGGATTTGCACATGAAATTGGGAGATAATGGAGAAGCATTTTTTGTTCAAGAGACTGATAATGATCAGGTAAGGAAGGCTGTGGGCGGTCACTGTGACTTCCTAGTTTTGAATTTTGAGCAATGCTTATCTAGAGGGCCCAGCGGAAGTGTGTGTAGAGAAGTAACACTGGTGCTGGGTGGTGGAGACCATCGCAGCAGAGAAGCGTGGCTGCTGATCTGGACCGGGGATCTGTGAGCCTGACAGGGTGGGTGCGAGCCGTGTCCACACAAGCAAGACTCCGCAGTCCTGGCCTGCTTCTGCGTGCTCACTGTTTCCAAGGAGACAGGAACCGAATCACATCCGAGCTGTTGTCCAAAGCATACGGGTTACACTGGTGTGTCGAATCTCAGAGGGCTGAGTGTTCTAGTTTTTGTGCAGTGAGTGACCAAGTCACTGTCATTTTTTATTACTTAAAAAATTTTTAACAGCTCTCTAAAGATATAGCTTGTGTACCATAGAGTTTCTGTGTTTCAAGTATACAGTTCGGTGGTTTTCAGTCTTCTAAGGTATGTCGCCACAGTCAATTTTAGGACATTTTCATCCCCCCAAGAAGAAACCCGGTGCCCTGTTGCTTATCACTTACCTCTCCCCAAGCCCCCACCCCGTCACCTTCCTGCGCCCTCAGCAACTACTCTTTTACTTTCTGTTTCTCTAGATTTCCCTGTTCTGAACTTTCACACGAATGCAGTCCTAAGTATGTTGTCATTTACGCCTGGCTTCCTTCACTTCTCATAAAGTCATCAGGGCTCACCCATACCGTAGCCGGGCTCAGGATTTCATCCCTTTGTAGGGCTGAATCATTGCCCGTGGTATCCACACACCACATTTTTTACCCTTTTGTGGGTTCGTGGACATTTGGGTTGTGTCTGCCTTTTGGCTGTTAGGAATAATGCCGCTGTGAGCATTCACTCTTTCCTTCTTTGAGAAAGCCACGTGGAAGGGATCCTGTGTTGTATTCCTCATGAGAATCCACTTAGACTAGCTGCTGTATGGGAAGATAGCGTGATTCAAAAGGAACGGCTCTAAATAGCTCCAGGCTCGAAAACGGACCCCATAGTTTCAGTTTCAGAATAAAACCGTCCCAGGTTGTTCTTCTTTTTGGTGTCCCCAAAGGTGTGACATAACAGGAGGACCAGCATCCTCATCCTGTGCCCCCATCTTCTGTAATTACCCCTTCTGTAATTACTTCCCTATTTAAAGGGAAGGTTCTGAGAATCGTTCATTCGCGATTATTAATTCTTTCCATCTCAAATGGATACTTGCCTTTTAAATTTCTGCTGTCCCTTAGCTGTGGACAGATTGTACGCTGTGGGAGTTGAAGAAGTGTTTTGGGCGAGGCCTCCATGGAAGCTGCAGGGTCTTGGGCCTGCTCCGCTCGCTTTCAGGGTGTCTGTGGGTGGGACGGGGCTTCGGAGTCCAGAGTATGTTCTGCCCCTTACAGATGCCCCTGGTTGCCCCTGGAAGGCTGCTGGAAGTTGGGGAAGCCTGTGTCCCTCATCACCAGATTGCCCCAGGATGGAGTCCCCCTCCGTTTGTGGAGGTCTGTCCCCTCCCTATCCAGTCTGGACTCTCCTCTGCTCTTAACCCCCTGTCAGTACTGTCGGCATTTCTTCTTCGTTTGGCCCGTTGAGCAGCTGGGCAAGATGACCTCTCACCTCTCAGCCTAAGGCTTGGTCTTTCAGATGTTCATTGTATACCTGCAGCACTTTGGGTGTTCTCGAAACCACTGTAAAGGGTCAGGAGCCGGTTTCTGTTTCTCTCTTCTCCTTTGTATATATTCTTTACTTCTTGTTACCAAGTGGCTCATAATAAATAAGTCATTAATAAAATGATTGTTATAGTTTTTAAAAAACTGGTAAATCATTATTAAATAACTTAAATGGACAGGCCATATATTTTTTCCTTTTTAAGAAGAGAGTCAGGATCTAATTATTCAATGGCCGTATACCTGGATGCCCTCTGGTGTAGGCAGGCATTTGGGATGGAGAGCTGTCAGCTGTATTTTTGTTTTTAATTATTGTCATCTTAATTCAGTGCATATTAAAAAACGCATACACATTCTCTCTTTTACATGCAGTCACGTGCATGCACACATACACACACCCACACACCCCACCACACACACTCACCCTCCTCGCACCTACCCACCCTCACACACTGAAATGCAAATTGAGTCCAGTTCCCAGGTAATGTGATGACTCAAAGCTCATTTCCCTCTTTACTTTGGATAGTTCAAACAAAGTTGACTCTGGGTGGCCTGAAATCACTCATTACCTCGCTTTGTTACAATTATGAAAATGCAGGATTCAGTACAAAATGGCATTGAATGCGTTGTTGACTTCGTGGTTGGCTGTCCGATCTGGCCCTGTGCCTCCAGCCGTGGTGGCTGTGACCGTTAGTCCCCCCGCCCCACGTGGCCCTCCCCAAGGGCGCTCGTGCTCCTAAAGGACCACCGGCCGGCCTTTGGCATCCCCCTGCTCCTTAAACCCAAACTAGCGAGACTCTTCGAGAACTATTTTCTGTCCTTTAGGAAGTGATCCCCATGTACCTGGCCACCTCCCCTATCCTGTCAGAGGGAGGGTCGCGCATGGAGTGTCAGCTGAAAAGGAGCTCTGTAGACAGGATCAGAAACCTGGACCCCAGCGCATCAGCCCAGGCCTTACCTCCCAGTGAGGCCCCTTCGAGCGGCTCTTTAGTGAAGAAGAGAAGGAAAAGGAGGAGAAAGTCCCAGCTGGACACCCTGAAAAGAGACGACAACATGAACACCTCTGAAGATGAGGACATGTTTCCCATAGAGATGAGCTCGGACGACCAGGCCGACCCGCTGGACGGCAGTAGGTAAATGTGCATGAAAGGCGAGATCTGTGTCGGGGTGCATTCATTCTTTGAGATGATTCTTACAAACTCTTTCCTACCGCCCTCCCCCCACCCCCAGTATTCCTTCTTCTTTTTTTTTAAATCTTATTTATTAGAGCGAACATGAGCAGGAGCAGGTGGGAGGGGCAGAGGGAGAGGGAGAGGGAGAAGCAGATTCCCTGCTGAGCAGGGAGCCCGACGTGGGACTTGATCCCAGGACCCTGGGATCACGACCTGAGCTGAAGGCAGACGCTTAACCGACTGAGCCCCCCAGGTGCCCCACTATTCCTTATTCTTATGTGAATGCATTTTAGACTGAGTTTTAGAACTCTGTGGACCCAACCTCAAGGAGCATAAAAATCTGAGGTAGCTTACAACTACAAGGCAGTTGGTAGTACCCGACCTCCTCGTCTGGTCGCTTCAGCATCCAGGACAGAGCCAAGGGACAGAGAAGTGAGCAAACTAATACTTCATGCACTAAACTGTTGTTTCAGAGCCTGCTTGCTCTTATTTGGGCCCCGACTGTGGACCCGGCCGTTGGGCTGATGTGTGGCTGGGGACTGATCTGTGACAGCCTTCAGGTTACAAGTACATGTGGAATGTGACCAGTTTTTTCTCCAAGCAGACTTTTCCTTTTCAGTGTTGACTAGGCCTGAGGTTTCATGGTCGTCTTGCTCAACTTTTCTTTGCTTTTAACAGGGTGCTGAAATTTGGTTTCTGTGTATTACTATTTTAGTGAAAATGGCCGGTTTTAAAAGTCAAAACTCATTTGTAAAGTATACTTGATATTTCAGATCTTTATGTAATTCAGTATAATTTTTCTTTTTTTTTTTTGAGGGGGGGGTGGAGGGGCAGAGGGAGAGAGAATCTCAAGCAGACGTCCTGCTGAGCACAGTGCCCGATGCAGGACTCAATCTCACGACCCTGAGATCAGGACCTGAGCCGAAGTCAAGAGTCGGGCGCTTAACCACATGAGCCACCCAGGCACCCCTAAAATTCAGTATAATTTTTGATAATTATTTTTGTATCTTGTTAACATAAAGAAGGGATAACGAACATCAGGAGTATCCCTCTGCTTCATTATCCAAAATAGGATTTTTCCCCCACTTGGCTAAAAATACAGGCAAATTGGCAATGTCACTTTTTCTAACTATAGCCTCTAATCAGCTATAGGCTCAGAAACTGGTGGTTGGGCTTGTTATAGTTGCCATTCCTTCATGGCTTTTAATTCCAGAACTTAGTGACGGATATTTCAGGGAACATCAAAAGTATGGATAGATGGCCTCTGTGTGACTGAAAGAGCGAATCGTATTTTTTTTAATGGATGCTTTCTACCTGAAATGAGGTAGCTTTGCAGTCATTTTGTAATTATAAGATTCATTTGGTTTATATCATTTATTTATTCTGCCAGATGAAGCATGGTCTGTGTGTGGTCATTCAGTTACTTGGCAGCCCTACCCGTGCACAGTAAGACTTTCTAGCCTCCTGGGCCCAGTTTCGGGGCCGCAGGATCACCGTTGTGCACTTCTATCAGCCCAGAGGCTTGAATACAGTCATTTTACGTTTATAATCCAGCCAAAGCACGAACACATTTTTGTGTATCTGTGTATCATGTTTTTCCTCTGCCTGCAATGTGTGTGGGTGGGTCAGAAAGAGATCATGTTTATCTACAATGAACTTAGAGAGATAATCAAGATAAAAGGGAAACTTGCCTTTACTGTGAATCTATCACTAATAATCACTAATAGTTCTTTGATGTTAGTCTTTTTTTTTGTTTTGTTTTCCCTCCAGAACTCTTCCTAACGATATACCTGTGTTCCAAGAAGATGTTTCTAAAGAAAGCCCTTCCCCCATCATGACTTACCCTCAGTCAGCATCGTACCCTAATTCTGATAGAGAGTGGTCACCCAGCGCCAGGTAAGTTGCTGCGGGAAGTGTGTGCGTTCACTCACCCCGGTCCAGAGGATTTAAAGTCAGTGACAGGAAACGTGTCTAATAAAATAGTGAAATATAAGTAAAAAGCGAAAAAATGCAGTTTCGAGTAGGAGGTACAGATCAGGATTGAAAAAGGACATGTGCAGACCATAAACTTCTGATATCATAATCAAGCTGCATATCTGGCTCTTCACTCCCCACAGGTGACCTTGAAAGCAAAACCACTGTGGTTCCTCAGGGCTAATTGTCAGCAGGAGAAAACAGGTGGCCGAGCCTTTCTTGACACTTAGCCCTCAAGTATGATTCAGGAGCCACCAAGGTGGTTCTGGGCTGTTAGAATGATGCCTTCGCCCCATGCTTAACCCCTTCTGCTGAAATCAGGAATATTTAGTATAACTCTGATGTTGCCCTAGAATCGGGTATAAACTTGGAGAGCCAGACCTGCTCAGGCTGCGGATTGCCGTCCTGAAGATCCCAGAGACCTGTTGTCAGTGAGACCTCTGAGAATATGTGACCCCTTCGGAGCCCTTCTCAGAAGGACTGGGGCGGGGACAGATTGAAACCGAGTGTTCTCAGCAGGGACCATATCACCCCCATTGGGACAAAAATTGGTTCTTAGGCAACAAAGAATTCTTAGATATTATAATGGCTTGTGGCCTCCACGGGGCCTCACACACAAGCAGATTCAGAGTCCATCTGTGGTGTTCAAGTTTCACGGTGGAGGGAGGACCACAGCAGGGTGGGGTGGGGGGATGCCTCAGCTGTCCGGAGGTGCGCTAAAAAGGAAAGAGGTTGAGAAACACCGATCTTAGTGACAGGGACATCCTTGGATTCTTCTTTTTTTTTTTGTTTAAGATTTTATTTTATTTATTTGAGAGACAGAACAATGAATGAGCAGTGGGTGGGGGGCAGAGGGAGAGGGAGAAGCAGGCTCCCAGCGGAGCATGGAGCCCAATGCGAGGCTCGATCCCAGGACCCCCAGATCATGACCTGAGCTGAAGGCAGACGCTTGACCGACTGAGCCCCCCAGGCGCCCCAACCTTGGATCATTCTTGTTCCTCATGTTTTAGATGTACTTGTGGTTTGCAGTGGAAGTGTAGGAACCCTGCTGCAAAGGCTCCCTGCCTAAAGCCAGAGTCCTCCCAACACCACTCCTCGTTCCAGTTTCACCAGAGTGATCTCGCCAGTGGGACAGCACAGTGAGCAGCATGGGCTGGAGCCCGAGTCCGAGAGAACTAGATAGGTCCCATGCCTGGTTCCAGCCAGGACCAGGACAGCGAGTGTTAGTCTGCCAGGGTGGGGCTGGGGGCCTGGGAGGTGTCCTCGTGGAGGTCTGTCTGCAGACCCACCCCATGCAACAGAAACAGAATGCTGGTTACCTAGGACATTACAGTCTTGTAGCAGCCAGCCTTAGAGGGTGAAAAGAAACTGAAAAAGTTCACTTTGATGATGGAGTTCCTTTGACCCAGCATATCCAAAATATCATCAAGTCGTTATCACGAAGTTCTTAATGAGATATTTCACGTTCTTGTTTTCATACTAAGTCTTTGAGATCATTGTGTATGTCACGTGTAAGGACCACCTCGGTTTGGATGTGTCACACTTCATGTGCTCGATAGCCATGGGCCGCTGGTGGCTGTCATAATGGACAGTGCAGATACTAGGCCTTTCTGGAACCTCCCACATCGTCTCCCTAGGTCTGTGGAAATGCACCCTAAGGAGGGAAAAAGACAGTACTTTAGGAAGAAAATTACGTGGGATGGTTAAAAACCACTATCAGGTTGAAAAATCTGTTCAAACACTCTACATTAATTTTAAGAGCTTCAAATAAATATTTAAAACACAACCCTGGATATGTTCCCCTGTCTTTCATGATTTGCTATATGAATCCAGAATAGCGACTCTGTCACATCGTGTGGGTCTGACTGCTGTCAAGTGCAATGACAAATTAGGATAAATAGATACATTTCCATACTTGGAATTATGTATTTTCTTTAAAGAGACAACTGGCAGCAGAAACGATCAATTCTTTGGAGAATGTAGTTTGATTAAGCACTAAATTCTGACCAGAGAACAACAATCTTTTATGGCCCATATGGATGAAATAGAAAGTGAAATGAGTCTTTTGGCAGTTTCCTGTTCTTGTGGTTCAAAAAAATTCATGTTGATTTCTGAGTGATTTCAACAGAGAGTGTTCTGCTGTTGTCAGATGCCTAACTATGTTCATTTTCTTACAAATGTTATTGTGGAGAGTAGTCAAAGAATTTATATGAAGTTCAATTTAATTGACCTATGATTTTTCTTTCTTTTAATGTATATCACGTGGTATCCAGTAGCCCGATAGATTGCCAAAGGACTGCCCCCCGCTTGGTGGTTGCGGCCGAGGGAGGCCTTTCTAGCTCTTGCCCTCCACAGTCTTCCCACTTCCATGCTTCGGAAAGGTAGAGGGGCTCTTTTCCCCACTGGGATGTCTTCGATAATAAAAACTATGATCTAACTCTTACAAGTCTGTTTATCACTGACCAAATTACTTACGTGGAAAACACATAGAGCCTGTATAAGTGAAACCTTTGATCTAACTCTTACAAATCTACTTGACTAACCAAATTACTTACGAAGGAAATACATAGAGATGATTTTTTGCCTTTGATTTTAAGCATTTGTAGATTATTAGATTTTTTTTTTCCATGACTAAATTTGATTCTCTGGAAATTATTATGGCTAAGCATATAGCTCTTCCTAATTTTGTGGGGTGCTTTGCAAAACAGAATAATGAAATAAAAATTGGTAATATGACTTTTGCTTTGTGTCTAGGGTTGTTCAACATATAAGTTTATAAGATCTTTCGTGTAAGGGGAGTTATTATAGCTCTTTAATTAGCTGCTTAGACTGTCTGAATAATGGAATCCTGTTGCCCCAGCATTTCTAAAATGGAATTTTGGGGCGTAGCCTAGGGTGGATCTTTAGGTTTAGGGTCGTAGGTTTATATTTTCCTCTGAGGTTCCTGCCTCCATTCCCTCCATGTCGTCCACACTCCAAGCTACGTGGTGGATGTACATGGTTTATAAACTTTAACAAATGAAGCTCTGATTGACTTCTGCATAGGAAACTGTTTTTCTTTTTGATTAAAGAGCCACTTCTCAGGATGTGCTTCATTTGGAGGTTACATGTACAGAGGAAAGGCCATTTTGAAAGGAGGTAAACTAAGCTGTGAACAATTAAAACTAACTTGCCTACCTGGGACTGGCAAACTCCTGAAAACTATCACGTGGTTAATAAATGCATTATTTACAAAAACCCATCATGGACCTTGTGAGCTTACTTTTTTGAACAACCCTTGACCTTAAAAGTCTCATATTTGATAATGGGAAACTTCGGGACCACCGTCTTTCTCCTGAATCACACCCAGCACTGGGGGACCTTTCCCCGACTTACCTTCTGTCAGTCTGAATCCCGCAGAACGTGGAGTGTCTGTTTGCGTCCAGAATCCTTTTGACAAAGGCTGGTGTTACTGCCATTTATCCCGGTGGCGTATCGGGCGTGAGAGGTGGGACTCCGAGCTCGTGACTTCCACACAGGGCTCGTTTCTCAATGAATGAGTTTGCAAACCTGAATAGCTCTGTGGGAACTTGGGGCTTGTGGTGTTTGTGCAAGGATCGGGACAGCTGGTGTTCTGGAGCTGGCGCCGCAGGAGACCTGTGCTCAGCGTTCGCCTTCTTCTAGAGCTGGGGTTGGCTAACCACAGCCGGTGGGCCAACCGTGGTCTCATGGGACTACAGCCGGTTCGTTCACGTATTGTCTGTGGCCACTTTGTGCTACTGTGGCAGAATTGTGCGCTTCTGACAAAGATCGCATGACCCACAGAGCTTGGCGTATTCAGTCTCTGGCCTTTCACAGACGAAGTGTGCTGACCCCCTGCTCCAGAAAAGCTCTAACGGGCTTTACTGACTTTAGTGCAGAGGGTAAGACAATTTATTGTTCCACAAAATAGAAATTATATTTTTTGTGGTAAAATGTAACAGCAGGAGCCTTTTAAACCAGTGATTTGAGGTTTGGGTGCAATGCTGTTGAGGATAGGAAGCCAATTACAGTGGACTTTTTCTGCGATGACTCTGGAGAAAAAATGGATTCAGGTCACGGTTGTGGACACACCGGTGCCGGGAAGGCAGTGACCCTCCTGTAATTGTGCAGGGCTAGAGGGAGCAAGGGAGGTTGGGAGGCGATGAGCACTTTACCGCCTAGATGTATGGGGCGCTCAGTCTTCCTCCTGTGGGACCACTTCCCACTGGGCGGAACAGGGCGTGTGTGCGTGTTTGTGTGTTGGGAGAGCTGTCCCACTGTATACACCCCCACGATATGCTGCCTCAGGATCCTCCTGTCCACACATGGCAAAATAAAGCGTGAGGGCCGCACTGTAGCCACGTACCACCTGGATGGTTTGGTGGGCTGTGGGCACCACGGGCGATGAACCAGCCTCTGAGCACCTTGGTGTGAAATGGAGGACAGAGAGAGAGCAGTCAATCTCTTTGGTCCAAATGGCTGGACTGAAGAGATCTGGGCCCAGTTTAGCCATTCAGGGTCCCTGTTGGTTTCATCTCTGCCTGCTCCTTGTCCTGACAGGAAACTATGTTCAGCTGGAGTTGAAATCTAACTCAGACAGGTCTGTGAGGCCAGGCACGACGGTGAGCGGGGACCCAGGAGAGTGTGAGGTCTGTGGAAGGGGGTGCGAAAGGAAAACATGGCGGCTTTGTCCCCCGCGTCATGTAACACCGTCGTCTTACTCTGGGGGAAAGGACGCAAGAGAGTAAAGGCAGGGAGAGATTAAATGGATATATTTTCTCATCCAGATGTTGTTTAGGAGACTGTGAGAAGTTTGTAGACAAGTTGATTACTCTTGGCCGGTCACTCTGGCTGGACGGAGGGAAAACTTTGTTCAGGTCTAAAGAGTAGAAATAGGGAAGGTGGAGAGACGAGAACACAAGTTACAACCACTTAAAAGCTGGCCTGAGAATTAAGCCTCGTGATACGTTGTTACAGAACAAGCCTTAGCCAACAGGTGGATCTTTGAAGTATTCCTGGAAGATAGAGTATTTAATGAAATCTCCTGCCACGTGAGGGAGTTTGAGTTTATTCTTGGCATCTGGAATTTGCGGCAAAATTGGCACGTGATGCAGTTTCCCTGTTTTTGAAGCCAGTGCAGATTCATAAATATTTTAAAAATAGAATATAATGGGTGCATGTCTGAGATAGGCAGGACCCCCTTTGCACTGAGAGCTGACAGACTCGGTTTGGAAGTTGAGAATGCAGGAGAGGGGAGCTTGGGGGGAGGTGGGGAAGGATGGGTGGTTTGGAGATGAGAACAAACTTTTTTCTCCCTTTCTACTTTCATCTCTCTTTTCCTTAATTTTCCTTTCTACATGCCTCTTCTCAACTTTACCTGGAACTGGGGGGCAGGTTGGAATAGGTTACCCAAATTGGGAGCTCCTTCCACCTGGCTGTGTGTTCTGTGGACCCCTGGTGGCCACAGAGGGGAATGTCACGAAGCTTGTGTGCATTTTCTGGGCTGTTTGAACCATAGAATTCTGGACCAAAAAACATCTTAAAAAGTTTCTCTTCCCAGTTTAATCATGGATTTGTGTTTTTCTTAAGTCCTTCAGGTTCTCGACCTTCAACACCTAAAAGCGATTCAGAATTGGTCAGTAAGGCCACCGATAGGACGATGCAGAAGAATAACCTAGAAATGCTTTGGCTTTGGGGAGAATTGCCACAGGCAGCAAAGGTACGTTTTTCCCCCTCAGTCCTGCCATACATCGAAGATAGTTTCTAAAAACATGAAACGGGCACAATCTTTTCTTTCACGAAATTTTGTTTCATATTGCAGTCTATTAAAAGAATCTTGAATATATTACTATAAAATTTTTTTCTAACATTGTAAAGCTCCTAGAAGATGCTCCAACTTCCTGTATCCCCAGTAAATATTTGTAATATGAATGAATGAATGAGTGAACATTGAAAGCATTCCTATTAAGAATCCCGATGGGCAACTCTATGGAGGGAAGATCTGTTGAGGTAGAGTTGTGGATGCTCTCCTTTTCTGGGTTGTATTTAGCTTTTGTGGACAATGCTGATTTCTCTGCCCACAAGCTGTAGTGCTGACCCAGCTAGCCGTCTTTACAAGCTCATGTCATTTGTTGCTGGAGAAGTGGCATGAAAGTGAAGTGCTAACCCATCACTTCTTCTGGCAAAACGCTCCCAACCACAGACGGGCCATAGCATTGTTTTCATTGTGCTAGAGCCGTGAGATCGAATACAGGAATGAATACCCTCCCTCTCCCCTCCAACCCCAGAAATTGCATTTTGGTTTTTGTTCGGATAAATCTTTTCCCTAACTGGACACTCCTTGGAGAAGTAGAATCAGAAATGCTAATTTCCCACTTATGTGAACCAACCACTTATTCACTTAGTTTTGGGGATAAACTTTATTAAAACATAGCCTGTGTACAGAGAAATGCCCGGATCGTAAGTGCACAGATCGGTACATTTTCGCATTGTGAATGTGTTCACGGGACTTGCACCCAGAGAGAAGCAGGGCTTAATCAGCCACTTGGAAGCCCCACCCTTTGCAGGTACCACTCAAACTGCTCCCCCCCAGAAGGATAAATGTCCTCCTGCCTCTCACAGCAGAGATGAGCTTGGCAGCCGTCATCATGCTATTATGTGTCATTGTAATTCACTTGTCATTGCTGCGAACTACCCATCCTGTGAGTAACTTCCCGTTCTATGGATGGACATTGAGTACTTGAGCTACTTCTGTTTGTTGGCCTTTACCGATCCCACTTCATTCTCTTTGGCAGTTGATGTTTTATATGAAAGTTCATGTGCTTTGGAACTCGTATCCTTCTGGTTAGATTCTTTTGGCAGAAGGGAAATCACCGGGTGACTCCTGAGGCTTAACTGTCTCTCTGCGAAATGGGCAGACAGTTGTGCAGATTGTTAATGGGTTAACTTTTTCTTCGGTTAACTCCTTTTTTCTCTTTGCCCGTGCTCTGACCATTCTGTCTGTCTGTCTCTGCCCCTTCGACATAGTCCTCTCCACACAAGATGAAAGACTGCAGCCCGTTAAACAGTAGAAAAATCTGTGAAAAGATGCACTTTCAGACCATCCAGAGTGAGTCTTCAGATGCGTTTAGTGACCAGTCGCCAACCCTGGCCAGGCCTCCCGTGCTGCCCGTTCCAGAGTCGGGCAGGCCTCCCACGGAGATGCAGCTGGTGAACGAAGAAGATGTTGAGGCCTTGGGGGCGGCAGCCCCGCCTTTACCTACGATCGAAGAACCCAAATCCCTCTCTGCCAGCGTAGCCCCGATGGCAAGCAAGACAGATTCTCCTTCCAGGAAAAAAGGTGGGAAGGCCGGTGCGCCCCAGCTCCTTTTGTGTAGACTTGGTGCTCTGCATGTTCCCGATCCTTCCCTTGGAGGTCCCTAGTGCGTCAAGGGGGAGGCCGGACCAGGACAGCTTTCTGCTGAAGATGTTAGCAGAATTTAATTATAGAATCAGACCGAAGGAACCCTTGGGCGGGGGGGTGTCATGAGCCCCCTCACTTTCTAGATTGGGGCGCTAAGATCCAGAGGCATGAAGTCTTTTTCACCCACTTGGGGCTCTGGAGGAAGTTGATTATTGAGCTAATCCTGGTCTCCTCATGCCCTGCCCCCAGTTTCTGTCTAGCACGTTGCCTGGTTTTAATTTCTGCATGCTGCGTATCACTATTTCGGGGATCACTTGTTTATATTTTTTTTTGCCGGGAACTCCCCTACTAGAATATATGTGCTCTATGAGATCAAGAACCTTTTGGTCTGGTTTACCTTTGTTTCCTCTGTGCTCAGAATAGTCACTGCTCCGTAATGGCTGGTGGAATACACATGGTGGCACGTCAGGAGGGGCGACGTCAGGAGGGGCGACGTCAGGAGGGGCGACGTCAGGAGGGG